CCCCGCTTTCCTTCTGGCTGTGGGTTTGGTTTTGTGGTTTTTTTTCTTTTTTTCTTCCCCCTCCGTGTTGGACGCAGAGGTTGCTGCATCCCCGGCCCCGCGGCTCTCCGGCCTTTCCGCCTTCTCCTTTACAGCGCGTGCGGGCAGGGAAGGCCTCGGCCTCATTGCTGCAGCTTGCTCTAACTGTCCCTAGGGTGGGGGGCACGAGTGGGACCCACCTGGCCGGGGTGACGCCGCCCGGGCGCTGCCGAGGTGGTCCCCGTGGCCTGCTGGGGCCGTGCCGGTCCAGGTGCTTTCGCCCTTCCGTCGCCACCGCCGCGATGTGGCTGCGGCGCCTGCCGTGAGGATGCTGGAGAGGGCCAAAGGTAGCGGCCCAGTCTGTTGGTGGCATCTAAATAAAACTTGTGGGTTGTACTTTTTTCTCCTTCTTGCCTAGAAAGTGCTATTGGCTGTGATGTTGAATAACAGATGCTCTTCTCTTTAGGAAATTCAGTGACTTTCTTAAGTGCCTGTCCTGGGGGTGAGGAGGGGGAGGAATTGGACCATTGAAGTCTGAGTGGTTTTCTACTAGTGGAGAAATTCCCAGTTTATTCTTAGTATTTGTCTACATGCTGTTTTGTATGCAACTTTAAACTCCAAATAATTAAGTAATCTTTTGTATAAAGGTGCTTACAGCAGGATTTATGTTTTTGTGTTTTAAGTGAGCAGTCTGAAACAGTACTTGATTCAGGTGATATTTTTCATTGTTATGTTGTAGGCTCATTATAAAGAACCTCTTTCTTTCAGGTTTGCAGAAGGTTGGGAATTATAGAAGTTGATTATTTTGGACTGCAGTTCACTGGCAGCAAAGGGGAGAATCTGTGGCTGAATTTGAGGAACAGGATCTCCCAGCAGATGGATGGTTTAGCTCCGTATCGATTTAAGTTAAGAGTCAAGTTTTTTGTAGAGCCGCATCTTATCTTACAAGAACAGACAAGGTAAGGTAAAGATGGTTGTAAGTCAACTGAATCTACTATTTTGTTTTCAATTTCTGTAACTTGTGAAAGTGGTTAGACACTGGTTTTATTTCTTCTGTCTTCTGGTAATCTTGCTTGACTTTTCTGTTTGGTTTTAAAACCTTAGTGTTATTTAAATGCATTACTCTTTTTTTTTGAAAAAAAAGGAACAAAACCGGTAATGTTGTAAGTATTGTGTAGCTACCAGTTAAGTAATGAGTGTAGGTAATTCCATGAGCACTGAGTGCTGGAAGTGGAAGAAACTAAGCTACCAGTAGCAAGGTATTTATATGGTATTTGCATGTCCGATAGTAACCCCTGTTCAGTGGTGTTACTCTAGGTCGTTCTAAACCACTGGTACAGAAAGGCAGGAAACAATTCCTCCCACAGAGCAAAAAAACTTGCTGAATTCCTTTTTGTCTGGTATTATGTTACAGTAACTTTCAAATAGCTACAGGCCCTTTGAGGCTACAAAAGAAACAGCTGTTTTGCTTCTTCTGTGGCCAGTCCTCTTAACTAAATTGTTATACTGTTAGCCAATTGTAAGAATTAGTCCTCTAAGATTAGCAGCGAACATTTGCTTTTAGTCCTTGAGTTTGATTACCACATGAATTGCAATTGAGTTATCTTTAAAGAAAGCTGTGCGCATACATATTTAATGCTGACCTTTCAACTAATTTTTTCCTGTTAGTTTTAGATAGTAGTTAATAGAAATTGGGCAAATTGAAATCTAGTGTCTATATGATAATGCCAAAACATGTTTTCACTACTCACCTTAACTTGGGACTTTCAGAATTAAGACCATGGATACAGCACGGTTGTTTTGCACAGAATATTTGTCTAAAGAATTTGGTCAGAGGCTGACAGCATGATTTGGTGTTTATTTTGTAGGAAAAAAGGTTTTGAGTTAGGAGCATGCATATATTTTTTTTTTTTTTTATTTTTTGATCTAATGTGCAGGGGAGAGGCTTTTGGGGAGCAGTGATTTCAGGTCACCAATCTGGTTGAAGTTTTCAGAATGTTTGGAGTTAGACCCTAGTTGTCCTGCATAATAGCTTTAGTTAGGCAAATGCATTCTAACTAAATTCCAGGTTTGATGTACCTTATTTTGAAAAAATAAATTCTACTACCCATGGCATGTCTCTGGGCTCTTTTTGAGTATTTTTCTTAAAGAAACTTGTCGTCTTATTTAAGTATTCTTAATGAGAATAAGTATAAAATGAAATAATGAAGGATTTTTATGTAGAACAAAAGGAGCAACACAGTTTCATACCCGATGAGGCAGAAGAGATTACCCTGAGCATGTTGGATGTGTCTCCACACACAGACCAAATCAGGGTGAATCTGAGGAAACCTAAAGCTGATATGGTTGGCGGTTTTATTCTATCCTTGATGAATGTTTGTTCAACTTCACAAGGTTTTTGCAGACACCTGTGTTCCTGCTTTCAATGCTGTCAACACAAGACCTGGCAGGTTGTGCAAGTTAATAGAGAGCTTGAACTGGTGAAGCATACCCCAAGGGCCTAAAAGACAGGTTGTGTAGCTAGAATGTAACAGAGCTTGTATACCTACATCGAAGTAGCAAGTACTTCTCCACTATAAAGATGACTTTAAAAGGTTATAGGTGGGACAAGCTTTCTTTTCTGTATGAACTAAGACTGTTCTAAAACTAGTATTTTAAACTAGCAATTTTAAAATTAATTGAGGCTGAGTCATCAGAAGAGATCTATTAAAAATTATGCTCTGGAAATAATTACTTATAATTTTGGAGAGCAACAGGCATTAAAACTAGTATTTAATGTCACTCTGTCTTGCAAACATGAATAGTCCAGAGGCTTCAGCTAAGCTGTTCTGTCTACATCCTGAGAATTTTTAGTGTTCTTGCCACAAACACAAGTGGTAAAAGAGTTTGCAATAGCTGCCTTTTAGTTGTGTATGCCCAGTAGTCTACACATAACAGACCTAGAATCCCATCATGCCCGTGGTTGATGTATATTTCTGGAGTGTTGACACCGAGATTCAGTAGATTTACTCTTTTTTTCTACTCGGGTCTGCTTGAGGATTTGCATAGGCACATAACTGCATTTGTATTTAGCTTGCGTGTAAGCATGTGTGGTATCAAGGAGAAGACAAAAAACTTGTTAAACCTGTCACTGAACTTTAAATCAATAGGTGTATCATAGAACTGCAAGGATTAGCTGTGCAGTTACAGCTGACACCTTGTTTCTTACCTTTACGTGCAAGGTCAGTGTGCTGGTCAACAAAGAAATAGCGATGGGGGTATCCTTGCTTTCCTTACCAGTTGTGTCCACAACTGATGTATAGGGTGTTTCTGGCAGAGCCGTTGCCTTCTGGTCCCTTGTGTGAAGAAGGCTGAGGCAGTCTCCCAGTCTTTTACTTGCTGCCTCTGATGCTGTTTTTAGCTATAAATCAGATGCATGTTGAGACTGCTTTTGAAATCTGGGAAGCTGCAAGTAATTCGAAATGTTGTTGATATGCTTCATCATGATGATAATAGCGAATGTTGTGACTGAGTTGTTACCAGTTTTTTCTATATACTTTGGAAGCTTTGTCAACCCCAGTTGTACTGCTTCATTAGAGATCCTTGTCTTGCACTTAAACTTAAAACTCAGATGTATGTTTGTAGCAATTTAATGTTCAGGTTTCTACATGCTGTGTGAAAAGCTGATCTGGCAACTGAACATCAGCCTCGGCTTCTGGTCTCTTTAATCAGCGTGCAATCTGGTGGAAGATCACAACCTCATGCATTTTAATCTTCTTATGCAAGGGAGCAGCCTTGCTACTGAGCGCAAAGGCAGAGCAGGTTCTAATTGTACATTTGACCACGATGGCAACAACCCACCTTCACCAAGTGCTCTGCGAATGGGAGAACTGCATGGAAAACAAACTTCTTACTGCGCTTCCTCTCCTTTTACAGGGTTAAAAGTGGTTTATTTCTATTGTTCTCTCGATCCCAGTTTCTAATTTGTATTTTGCTGCCTGGTACTGAACTTCACCACAGGATTTTGTAGTTTAGAATTGTTTTCAGTGGAATGAAAGTGCTTCTGTGCAAGAATGCTATTCAAATTTCATCTGCCGCTGTCAACTCGAGTTGCGCAACCAAGTCTGAAATGCGAACAGCGGGCTTGGTGAGAGGAGTTTGAGTAACCGTGTCGTTTTTTTTGAAGGGAGAATCACATTGGCTTGAAAAGGACTGCCATCTCTTTGCTTAAAGATACAAGTGGTGGTGCAAGATCTAGATCGTAAGCTTTGGCTCATGTCATGTTCGTTTTCACTCTTCTCTGTATTTCTTGATGGGTATTACAACAGTTCGTAAAAAAGGCAAAAAGTCGGGTGTTTTTGTCAGAATGACTTATGGGTGGTTTTTGTATCGAATGTCGTGAAGCGCTGAGTTACAGCGAGGAGCTGGGACTCGGAGAAACGCTGATGGTTCCCCAGTCGGGACCTTCAGGAGAGCCCGTGGGGGAGAGGGGGCGGGAGGCGGCGGCTGCCGGCACCGCGCT